TCTTCAAATAATTTATTTTTAAAAAGAATAATAATACGATTATAAGCGTATCAGAAAATTAACACAGTGTAGCCCTGGCGCTTGTACTATCTCTCTATCACCAGACTCAGGTCTCTTAATATACAAGGAAACATTGCGCCACGTGAGAATAGACATGACACATAATGACTTATATCGAAGTTGAACAACATTAAATGAGAAATCAATATCAATATACATAGTATAAAACAAAGTCGCTTTCGCTGTATGTCCGCATGTATGCTTAGATCTTTAAAACTACGCAACGGATTTTGATGCGATTTTTTTTAATAGATAGAGTGATTCTTAAGGAAGGTTTGTATGTATAATACATTCATATTGCACCCGTGCGAAGCCGGGGCGGGTCGCTAGTAAAAAATAAAACAAAGTAGAATGAATGCCCAAAAAACTCAGAGTCGATTGAAATATTTAATAGACCATAAGTAAGAGGTTATAAAATAATTGTGGTTTTTTTTTATTTATAAGTTTGTTACTAAAGAAAGTGAAGAAGAATTCCATTAAGGAATTACTTTTACGAGAATTATATATGTAAACCTTCCCAAGCTATAAGATTTTCCAAGAGTAAACATACCTACGTCATCATATTACGATGTGATTTTGTTAAAAAATAAACAGTAGGTACATATTCACCGTTAAATCTACGGAAAGATGCGAGTCCAGTGCAAGTGGAATGCGAGTCCACGATAAACTGTTGGGTTGCCTTTTTTACTCTAAGACTGCCTCGACTGTCGGGCAAGGGGTTTCGGTTTCGATTCCCGGGTCGGGCAAAATAAATATAAAATCCCAGTAGTACCACGGAGTCTGAAATTGTGCCCGGTATATGGCAATAGGCTCACCCCCTATTACATGGGACTCATAATATAAATAGTGAATAGTGGGTGTTACTTCTGTGTGCATCTCTGCTTACCCCTTTGGGGATAAAAGGCGTGATGTTATGTTATTCTCTAAGATGTCAATTCGCATTGTTGATAGCGGTCCACCAAGGCATTGGTTGTGAGGACAATCTTGACCAATGACGGGCGAGAATGCGATCGAGCTCACTTCGAGAGTACGAATTCATACTGTACTGTACTGTGTCTACTGGAACTGCATCGCGGTTCGTCTGTTTAGAGCCTTACAGAATAGCCTAACTGCTTTATTTTTTTTATTGCGTTCCAAAGTCTGCCTACCCCCATGAAAGACAGGTGTGAAGTTGAACCTGAGTTCTCCAAGTAATGTGTCCATCACGCCGTACTATCTGGTTGGGGTAGGCGTCTTATCAGTCCGCATGATTAATTGTGATAACGCTGACATAATCACCTTGATCACAATTAGATTACTGTATCATGTCATCTACATTTATGTATGACTACTAATATATTTTTAAACGTTTTAGTCTGGAATTGCCGATTCTATATAATTAGTTATCTGATCATTCATTTCATATTTAATTCATCATGTTTAGTGTTGTAATTTTGATTGAACTGTCGTAAGCACGAAAGTATAAAATAGTACATATAGGGTTACAAGAACTACTTTTTTAAGTCGCACATAATAATATGTATATGGTTCTTTGCAGGAATCGAACCTGTGACTCTGCGATTTGACTCTGTGGTTTCTGTTTACCTCTCCTTAAGGACATCATAAATGGCTGTACTCGCCTTACCGCACACTTTTACAGTTTCTAAATAACACTAGAATTTTTGTAGAGGAAGCATGCCTTAAGCTTAGTTTAACTTGTTAAGTTTCTGTTAGATTAACTGACGTCATAATTTTACGTATCTAAACATATGTTTGAATGTAAACATATTATTTAAGTGTGGGAGAGCCATGCTTCGGCACGAATGGGCCGGCTCGACCGGAGTGATACCACGGCCGAGCAGAAAACAGACGTAAAGCAACGCTTGCGTTGTGTTTCGTCGTGTGAGTGAGGTTACCAGAGGCCCAATTACCCTCCCCTTCCCCAATCTCCCCAATTCCTGAATCCCCAACGATCCTCAAACTCCTAATCCCCAAAAGGTCGGTAACGCATTTGTAACGCCTCTGGTGTTCCAGGTGTCCATGAGCGACGCCGATTGCTTACCATCAGGTGATCCGTCTACTCGTTTAGCGGCTTATGCTATATATGCTTTTTTTGTATATGTGTCATGGCCTCATGGCCTACGTCTACGTCTCGCCTGTTGGTAAGCGATGATGGGGTCTACGATGGAGCACGTCGTCCCATAAGCAACCTACTCACTTGGGCCTTGAAGACACCCAGGTTATACCCTTCAAGAAACACAGACTCTGACAATGAATTCCATTCCTTACGTACGTACAACGTGTAGTATTCGTGCTTGTGGGTGGGATATCTACCATGATCAATCTTATGGGCTATTTGAAAGCAAAAATTTATGTCAGTTGAATAAAATGAGCACGTAATAATGTAAAGTCCTGTAATTATTGTCTGACTATGGGAAACAACACCACTTCGCCATTTACCCACATATTGACATACGCATATTACATAGGTATATACAGGTATATTATCATAAAGCTCAAACAAATTCTGCGCGCGCGCAACACAAAGCTGCCGCGAGCCGTTTGCTGCACTTTTTAATTATGTCCTGCCCCTCTCATCACGCAGTACTGCGGCCCACGTAGGGTTGACAACTTACCCATATTCTTTCAAGAATCAGGAATTTCATACAAAATATTACTACTGAATATTGGATATCCTGTTAGGAATCAAAACTTTTCTGTACTTTACTTAGGTTCTCAATCAGTTAATACAATTTTGAGATTTCTTTATCAGACATATTCTTTTTAAGTATACTATGAATCTCAGACAGTTACGTGCCGTACGTAGGTATAACCATGAATGAATATCGAGAAGGTCTTATCAAATATCGATTTCAACACATTTCTTCACTTTTATCTGAGTGGATCGTATCTTTGTGTTATCACTTCCTGACTTAAGTCTTTCATTTTATTGATTAGGAAAACCCAATTCATAGACTTAATGTGTACGGAGAACTACATATCACAATTTTATTGTCACTTGAAATTATGTCCGAACCGGTAATAATACATTTTGTATTGTCATCGTCAATTTATTATTTAGAACGGCGAACCTTCAATCAAGTGCGACAGTGTCACGTTTTGTAGAGGTCCGTCCCTACATGTAAGAGTGCTCGGTTAGAAATATCTCCTCATAATTAACGTGGCAGGAGGTTTCTTGATGCAGTCCAGCCCTGCGAGCCTGCGCCTGCGCGGCCCTCGAGCGGCGTCAAATGTCATTTTAACAGCGAGCTCGGCCGTCGGTCGCCATATTTTTTGCTGCCGCGCATTTTCGAGCGCGATCATAAAATTTTGTTATTAATACAGTAAAATTTTCGGATTAGGTAGTATTAAATTCGAAACAAAGCAGGGATTTAATTGGTAATTCGTGTCCAGTGGTCGCGATACGAATATTTGTACGCGACCAATATCCGTTCGTTTATTGTTTTCGGTTGTAAAGTCGATTCGGGACGCGAACGTGTGCGGCGCGGAGCGCGGCCGCTGCGTGCGCGCCATTCAATTAGCCACTGAATTTTTAATGAAATATCACGTTGTACAGCGTAATTAAATCAGAGTGCGCTACTGAAAATAGAGGATTTATTTGTGGAGCCATTGTGAGGTGGCGGCCGGGGTTGAGCGCGGCCTAATCAATGGACTTTTATTACAAGCCGCGCACCAATTCCGCTACAATTTCTTTTTGGTTGTTTGTATATTACATTCGGAGCTGATATTGATTTCGTGTTCTACTGCAGTCCGCTCCACACCACAACCGTCGCACATACCACAAACACGACGAACACAGGACCCACATGTGAAATGAGACAAAGTAGCATAATGTATGAACAAACCAATTTATTTTCTATACTGTGACCAATAAAGCTAGTGTTTAAATAATATCAAGTATCTAGGTGATAACATCTAGTTTGTACAGATTTTACAAATACCGACTAATGTTTAGCAGACACCTACTACATATTGTATTTTCCGATTAAGTATCAGATTTTCTCTGAACATTTCTCAATATTTCTCCAACAACACTATAGTAGGTATCTAGAGCTAGTAGCTAGAGTTACCGAAGTAATTCAGAGATAACTTATATAATTGTTTAATTAATTGAGATTTATTTACACATTCACATTTAGAGAAAACTTATTTGAGAGGATTCCGTACATAACATTAGAAATATGGCTCACAGTTAGTGTATCACAATTTTTAGTTCAGTTTCATAAATAAAACATCCATTTACTTATCACATAAATTGAGACACGCCAGTTACACAACAGAGACAGAGAGAAATCATAAATTGAACACAAAGTATTATTAACTGACAATATCTTTATTATTTGTGCGAGTAGATAATCTGTTCAACAAATAATTTTATGAATAAAATTAATTATTACAATTAACATTAATAGTTTCTGTGAAGTAAGTCTGGTATTCGTATTAAATATTTACATGATTGCACCCATTGACACATATATCGTCCCATTGGAAGAATAAAGTGTTATAATCACATGTGTCAAAATTCATATTATGGTAAATTCGTCATCCTTATAATGTAAACTATCGATTAATACTATTTTTATATATTTTTATCCACTAATTCAAAAGATACAATGCTCGAATAAAGTTTTATCCGCGCCGACTACGTAAAATAACTATGCATGATCACATACAACAATATTCTCCGCCTTGTTTCTTGGCCAAAGAACGTTGTATGTGCACATGCGACCCATTATACTTGAAAAGGCATAGTTTATAAAATAAATAATTATATTATCATAAACGATACTAACTTCTGTGCATACTGTACAAATATTAAGTAGCTAGTATCATTTATAACAGATTTATAAGCAAATATGTGAGTGCGAAATTTACAATCGCTCTACTGAAAAGTCGACAATTTGCAAATAGAACATTATTCTACTAATGGGACGATATAAACAGTTGAGGACATCCGCATCGCTTCACTTAATGATACCATAACTTACACCTAAATATCTACAAGTTATTTGACGGTTCATATCACAACTCGATTCTAAACACTAAAGTACTATAATTTAAGTTCGTTTTGTCCAGAAAACATTAGTAAATTAGCTATGTAAATGGAGATAACATATGTTGTATAAATAATTTCTGATAGTTTCTTCTTCACGCTGATGAATCAATTCAATATTTTTTAATCCGACGGCCAACTACCGACGGCTCGCAGCTTTCGACATAAAAATAGCCATAACGTTAATAAAAATACTAATAGTACAATATGTATGTACTTTCATATCAAATTAATTTGTTATAAAAATAAAGTACAATATTATTTAATCATATATCGATATAAAATTATGCAATGCAATGACAGACATTATCTATGCGTCAGCACAGGTACTTCTATATAATTTTCTTTATACCAAAACTGTGATATGAATCGCCTTGTAAACAAATATTTAATAGAATCTATGTATCTTACACGTGATAACGTATCGTATATACAATAATAATATAGGTAATACTTTTTATCAACAACTATGTTTATCACTACAAGATCAGTTTGTCACTTTTATATCACTCAGCACTTTGAACCAGGCCCTGGAGTCAACCACAGGCGGACACACGAACTACGAGACTCAATTACTGCAATTTTGATAGAGATACAATTTAGACATAAGTTTGATACTAAATAAATCAGAATTTTTGTTCAACTAGTAATTTCCGAAAGGTTATTGAGACTAGTCGTTTTTGTCTAGTTCCAGACTTTCAATTGTAATTACAAAAATATCTTCTATATCATCACATTTTCAATGTTTATATTTCGAGTAATATGGCGAATTCATAAAATTTTGCACTTCTAATTTAATTTCTTTATTAAATACAGTTACTTCATAAAATCATGGCCCTTGCATATGACATGTACAGCCAAGTACAGTGATATAAAGTATATCTTACTCTACTAATCTCAGTCGTGACGTACCCTGCAATAGTGTCAACTGTCACTCCCGTCACTCAATAGTACCACGATCACTAATAGTATCACTTCACTTCACTGGGTGATCACTGGTCACTGGTGGTGATCTAGTGATCACCGGCTATGTTAATCACCGGTCGTGATTGGTAGCGAGGCGCGCGTGTCAGAGGGCATGCGCGTGCGCATGGTGGGGCGGAGGTGGCTGCTGATGAGGGTGAGGCAGCGCGTGGGGGTTGCCTGCTGTGTGCTGACGACCCTGAGGACAAAATAGAGTCATTTAATTAAAATTGCTACTTTATTCAGGCTACACTTATTCAAGTATTGTGCTCCACATGAGGACTCTGTATGAGCGTAATTTTATTTAAATCATTCTTTTAATGTCTTAAGCCAAGCGTAAGTCGTGTCTTAGGCCAAGATTAAATCTTAAAGTACCAGCTGACCTGTAAGTAGACGTAGTAGTCGTAGGGCTGGTGCAGCGGCCAGCAGCGCTGCGGCGGCACAGGGTAGAGCGGCGGCACGGGGTACAGCGCGCCGCCGCCGAGCTTGTTGCGCAGGATGCGGCTGATGCTTGACACCGACGGCACGTTGTACTTGTCGCACACGCCGTCCGCCAGCAGCCGGTCCCTGATCTCCCACGCGAAGATGCCAGGGTCCTTCGCTTTGAGTTGCTTTATGTATGATACCACCTGCCAAAGAAATGCTACGATAATGCCATTGTTCCAACAAAGAATGCTTAAGAACTGGTAAAAATATAACCTTTGTTGTTGGTTTTGACTTTTTTACAATTTACGTTAAACCCTTTTCCCTTTTCCAAAAACTTAATACTGGTTTTTGGAAAAACGTAATTTTATATGTTCTCCCACTGGTAATAGTTTAGGACAATATTTACTTTCTTTCCTTTGACATTACTCCGTATTTCCCGCCGATGTGATATTGTCTTTTTTGTGTTAATTACGATTAACTGTTAACGATCACAATTTGTGTGTTGTACTGTGTGACGTAAACGTCACTGACCTTAGGTGTGGTGACCCTGGGCTTGGAGCCGCCGATGGCTCCTGGCAGGATGGAGCCGGTCTCGTGGTAGCGCGCCAGGATCTTGGAGACACAGCCGTGTGACACTCGCAGCTGCCGGCTGATGTCGCATGGCCTGCACAAATAGCGTGACTTAGAAACTAGTTTTGACTTATTTATGTACATTATTTACCTACATTGCAAACTACAACTGGAAGCTTCAAAACATTGTGATGTAATTAATAATTAATTAATTCAACAATTGATTCCAACGTAGCTGTTAATGCCTAATAACAGGCTAAATATCACGGCCACACACATATTCCAGTTGGATATATTTCTTGTTTTCTCTATGTACCTAAATACCTCAAGTAATCCCGCCCTATTCCACACTTCAGAGAGTCTATTTTAGCGAGACTTTCACTATATTGTATTAAGGTTGAATACAAACCGTAGACGATGCTAATCAACTCTTACTAATACAATAGGATTTTGCTAGAAAACTTGAACGTAGGTATTATGGAGGTAGTATTTAATCAATATTTAAATAGTTTCTGCTATTTATAAGTATTAAATGTATGCAAGTTATCTAACTCCCAGATTATCGGCGGAGGTTAAAGAAACATTGTATTAGTTTATGGTATGGAACTATTGATAACAAGTAATAGTCCACTGATAGTGGCCACTACTAGAACGTTATGTAACACCTACCTACACTATACTATACTTACCTAGTATTTTTGTATAGATACGTGTAGTCGTATAGAATACAGAGATTTCCTTATGGCATCGAGCATTTCTTTCTTTATTGAAACAAAGAGTTACCTTTTTCTTGTATAGAAGCACTATTTCTATGGATTGTCAGTATGCATATGTGAGCACCATGTTAGACTTAAGATCTTTATTATTTTTTATTTTTTTTATTTTAGTAAGTTATTAGTATAATGCGTCAAGCGTGTCTTTGCATTGTTCTTACATATGCGTACAGTATTGAAATATGTATCAGAGACATTGTAGAACATACTTTTTTAAAAGAGTAACGAATGGAGTTTCTTGCTCGTTCTTCTCCATTCGAATCCACGTTTTGGAATGAGCACCTAGCTTCACCTAGCTTCACTGACGGACTGACTGACAGACTATTATTTATTTTGTATTTGTTGACGTTTCAAAAGTACCAAACTATGGTTTAATTGAAATAAATGCTTTGACTTTGACTTGACAGACGTTTCTAAATTATTTGCTACCTGTGTTATAACTTTCGTGAGGCATACTAAATTAATGATTATGTCTTTCAGGTTACTCACGTAATTGTTCGACGAGGAACTCGACTAATGTCAAGCCATTTTAGAGAGAAGCAACGCGACAGTCGCCGCGTCGTGTGTCGCGGAATGCTGCTCATGAACATGAGCCTCAAAAAGTCTTGAAGCTAATCGAGTTCCCCGTCAAACAATTACGTGAGGAAGCCGAAAATCATAATAATCTTTTGCCACCTCATCAGCATCAATTGATGATATAGTAAAAATACTTTCTACACAAATTCACAGTTAATGCGTCTGATAAACGTCAGCTGACTGTATTTCATCCTTTGTCTTTAGATAAGTCAGTGATGGACTTTTAAACTTGTATATTCTGCATACATTTAACTAACAATGTGTACTAAGTGGTTTCTGCTTCTCTTTAAGCAATAAACTCGTGATGTGACTAACATGTAAACAGCTGTTTCTATGATGATAAATATTATCGGATATTAAAATAAGCAAAAGATAAAAAACTTGTAATAGGCGATTAAAATAAATAAATTAATGCAATGAGTATTCATATGTACTAATGTATAATTATAGCTGATTAGTTAGTGTGTATCTTATTAAACCAAAATTTGAGATTGCCGAGCGTCTCACCGTTCATAATATTTTATCAAACAAACAAAAATAAGTGCAATAATTGTTAACGCTGAATCAAGTAATAGTGTGGAAGAACCACGTTTCGGCACGAATGGGACAAACAACGCTTGTGTTGTATTTCGTCGTGTGAGTGAGGTTACCGCAGGCCCAATTACCCCCCTCAGTCCCTGGGGAGTATGAAATTCATAATCCCCAGAAGGCCGGTAAGGCACTTGTAACATCTCTGGTGTTTCGGGAGTCCATGGCCGGTGCCGATTGCTTACCATCAGGTGATCCGTTTGCTCGTTCACCCTTATCCTATAAAAAATGCCCTAAAAATCATTATCCCTCTTTACCTGATTCCAAGTTGTGCTAGTTCGACTATCCTCAGTCGTACCGCGTTGGGTAGTGGTCTTCCATTGACGAAGACTCCTCCGAGCTGGTTCACCTCTCCGTACTGCTGGGTGCCTGTGCCTGCCATGCCAGGGTTGCCCATACCCGCCGCACTAGGGTCTGGTGGACAAAAGATTCGATGTTAGAAATTGTTGGTGGACTACTTAAAAACCAACGGTAAATAAAAGCGGGACGAGGTAAAATGATGAACGATTATAATTTAGAGAGAGAAAATTGTAATGGAGGATTGTCAATTCACATAGAACCTAATAATAGAATGTGTAACTAACGAATCGAAAACTTTATTAATGAAACAATGAAATGTGTGCACAGCTTAAGAAAAACTTTGATGTGGTCCGCGAATGAAAAAAGAAGTCAGAGATTTTTTTTATAATAGTGTTTTATAAACGTTGCCCCACCCTGGGATTGTCTCCTGTGTCGTGGGTGCATTTACAAAATTACATGTTTACATACACATGACTCCTAGACCCGGAGCAACAATTAGTGGATCACACACAGAGAGAAAGAGTGGCTCGTTGCGCGGCCGCCGGTTGTCCAGCCACCCCACGAACCGTGCCGTCAAACTCAACACTGTATAAAGTCGTACGTAACAATGAAAAATGCTAATTATTGGTGTAACACAAACTCTAGGTTGAGCAGAATAACCCTCCGCCGCCGTCTAGCTGTTCATAATTAAGTCAAAGCTATCGGGTCCACTGTTACCCGAAACCAACTTTGATGTCGCCACCGCCGACACTCGTCGTTTTGTGCCGACACTCGACACCTGCGCAGGCGCATAATGTCGTAAAACCGTAGCTTGTTATATTTTGAGCCGGTTCTATATTATAGTGAGTTGCTAATTTGTGCACGTTTATTTACCATAATAATAGACCAAAAACATTCTTAGAATTTTTAAGACGCCGTCATATTTTTCTGCCATTTATTAGATAATTGTTTTACCCCGTGAGACATGTTCAAAATAACTAGTAACTGTTCTGTTAGTAATAGAAGATACAAATGTATCATATTACACTTAAATATATTAAAACTATTTAAATCTGAACAGTTATGCGCACGCGCATCTCCTGTTGCATCCGTCCAATAAACGTCAAGGCACGTCAGTGTGACGGCTGTCAGTGTGAGAGACACGAGCCGTCATCTCGCGGTGACACCGAGACACCGCGACACTCGACAACAAATAACTGTAACCCTAAACTGTTCGAGATAATTCTCACTCTGTTTTCACGATCGTTTGGAAACATTTATCATAGCAGCGGCGGTGAGAGGGTTACAAGCACCGCAGTGGCGATCTCTGTGATATCGGTGATTTATGGCGGTGACGTTGAGGAATGGTTATTAATTGCAGCTTGTTTGTTATTGGCTCTACCTTCCTCTATTAATTACACGACTTTAATTATGTTATGTTGTTTGTCCGCACGATTGAATTTATTAATTCATTTGTAAAAGTGTGCATTAATAGTTTCATTCTGAAGAATGAAATCCATTTCAGACGAAAGAAGGATGATGTTGACGATCAACTTTGTTTTTATCCAATCCTCAGAGTTTCTACAATTTATTTAAATATCATGTACAATTGTACATCTAATGGCTTTATTACCTAAGTATAGTTTTGTGCGGACGAGCCATGTATTGGAGTTTCTTTTCTGAAAGTGTTTCTGAAAAATGTCGAATAAAATCCATGCAAGCAATTTAACTGTTCAGCAATTTGAAGAAAACGAACAATACGTGTTGCTTCACGTCCAAATACACCAAAAAATGACCACGAAACAGTCGCATTATTCACTAAACCCACTCCGGTGACAAAGTACAGTCGAACAAATAAACAGCGCTCACTCCTCGCTCGTCGGAGTACAAATTAGCGGAGTAGTGAACAAAATGCTTGACTAATGTGCTCCACTCGTTGTCTTGTTGCGCCACTCGGAGCCACCGCTGACAAAGTACCGTGTCACTAGTTTATTTATACGACTGTACTTATTATAGAGGCGGTGCAATTACAATTATGTGACAGGAATGAGCTCTTACTTAAGTTTTTACGAAACTCCAGGAAAATTCTTCACTACAGTTCCAGTACAAGAAGGTGGCTTAATTTTAAGACTTCAGTGACATTTCTGATTTATGAATTTTATTAAAATGAAAGTCTATTAAAGGGGAATTCAGAGTTTTATAACACTGTTCTTATCTATCCTATCCGTGGCCTAAGAACATTTTTGGACGGACTTACGCAGATTGCTGAACGGGAATTATTACTATTTGAGGGTCGTGAAGTCGATGAACTTACAGATATGCATAACTATCACCCGCGACATTCATCTAGGAGATAATTTATTTGGCAGCATTAACGACTCTTGTTTCATTAATTATCTACTATAAGCAAATACATTGACAATCGTAGGTAGTAGATAGAGTTGTTAATATTTTCAGAAAAACAAAATCCATATTTTCATGGTTAATTTTGAAATACGGAAATTTTAACTAAAATTAAAGATGTAATATTATAATGACATTCGTGTGCGCACACGCAGTGTCATAAAGAGGATATTTTACTGAACTTTACATTCTTGAAATGACGTAGGTATACATTTTGTTTATTGAATATAATGTCACAAATCATGACATTTGGGACATTGCTGCTACCGAATGTGACATGCAACCATGTTAATTTAGGATTTATATCCTGACTGAATTTTATAGATGGTAATAACAACTCATATTTAGGCATTTACCAGCTAATGTAAATGGATGTATAACAAGTTACAACTATTAAGGTCTTGAAAATTTCAGTATCTATCAATTTAGAATCCCATTATTATAGTACGAGATCCGGCTGCAGAATCAGTGTACCAATCGAGTGTTTGCTGAAAACCAAATTTTTACACATATTCATGATTAGGAGAATTAATATCCACCAGGTTGCCTATCAAAATGTGGCCGCTAGTATTTTTAATTAAATTATTAATAATTCATAATCCGTAAGAAATTTCATTGACTTTTTTTTTCAATGAAATGTCGTCTACTTTACGGCAACATCTATAAAGACTCTGAAAAATTATGGTTGCCGTTGCGCACCTGGCCGCACCTCTTCGCAGCCAGGTATACACAGGTATGAATTTGTTACATTTATACACCCACAACGTACATTTATAATTTATATATCAAATTAAAGCAAATTTTTTTCTGTATTATATTATATACGGTTGCTTAATTAAATCTGGCCGCCAATAAGGGTTGCTGGCTAATAAATATAGTAAATATTAAAAGTAGAGTGAAAGAGAGCTAGCGCGTAACACCACTAGTCAGACGAGGATAGCGATTGCCAGCTGTCGGACGGTTTAAAGCCATTGCGCATGCGTCAGATGTTAGTGTTCTCAACGGATCAGTTGTGATTTTTATTTTAAGTTCGAAACCACGCTGTTTGGAGTACGTAATACACAACATAATATATTGCTGTTTTATTTGTGCATCGAAAAATTATTAATCTCATTTAAGTGAAATAAAATTTATAAGGATGAAGGCGTGTTTCCTGTGCGACAAAAAATGCAATGTACTAGACTTTGATAATGCTTCATTCAAAAAGTGTTCTCTAATGTTATTGTTTCGTCGCAAGAAAAAATATAAATATCATGACATTTTATTAAAAAAGAGTCATGGAAGTATAATACAAATATAATACATTTTAAAAATTTATAATTTGCTTAAACTGGTGATTGATGTATATGTAAAATAAATGTAATTAAATCTTTTTTCATGCAGTACTTGTACAACACAATTTTTTTACATAAGTAACCTTGATTTTATTTATCATCAATATTCATTTTTTTTGTAATTTTTAAATTTGTCATTGACTTTTTAATTTTTTATTTTAGAAAAGAAAGACGTTTCTTTTGGAGTATTTATTATTTTGAGTCGTACCTAGTGACTAGTGGTGTTACGCGCTAGCTCTCTTTCACTCTACTTTTAATATTTACTATATTTATTAGCCAGCAACCCTTATTGGCGGCCAGATTTAATTAAGCAACCGTATATAATAATATACAGAAAAAAATTTGCTTTAATTTGATATATAAATTATAAATGTACGTTGTGGGTGTATAAATGTAACAAATTCATACCTGTGTATACCTGGCTGCGAAGAGGTGCGGCCAGGTGCGCAACGGCAACCATAATTTTTCAGAGTCTTTATAGATGTTGCCGTAAAGTAGACGACATTTCATTGAAAAAAAAAGTCAATGAAATTTCTTACGGATTATGAATTATTAATAATTTAATTAAAAATACTAGCGGCCACATTTTGATAGGCAACCTGGTGGATATTAATTCTCCTAATCATGAATATGTGTAAAAATTTGGTTTTCAGCAAACACTCGATTGGTACACTGATTCTGCAGCCGGATCTTAGACTATTAATAGTAAATCAAATAGACAATATTTGTTTATAAAAAGTAGCACGATGATGAACAATAAATTAAACAATTGTCAAAAGTCAAAGGGGGCACTTATGTCATCAAATGTCGGCGCGGGTCCCATCACTAGAGCGGTCCTCGATCCGTGACGAGTTGGTCACATGTTACAGTGTGGCCAATGGCGGCGGCACATCAAAGCGAGGGCGGGGCCGGTTCCGCCTCGACACATGCACCGCACTTGTCATTGTTACAAACTTGCTCAGCATTGCCTCGATAGGATACGACGCCAACCGTGGCAATGACACCGAGGCAACAAACATTTCGCCAGTGAACTTTACATTGCTGAAACTTTCAGTCTTCAGTCTAGTGTATAATCTGTGTATACTTGAAATCTACTTATTCACTCGTAAACATAGGAAAGGTATCCTAAAAGTTATCGATTACCAAGAATTTGTATGTCATGAAGGATAGCCTTATAGGATTGGAGTAGAAAATACAAAGTGACCGAACAAGAGATTTTCTGGCCAATCACAAGTGGTGACAAGATGCGCGCTAGATATTTAGCGTGACATGCTACGTCACTCGTCTCTGGCCGACATACAAGGCGGCGCACACGCATCGTCACATCTTGAGGACACTTGTCACCTTGTCAAACAATGGACATCGATTATGATCTATTGTTCCACTCTCTGAACTAAT